TGGTGGCCTGGGTGTGTCTTAGTGCCTTGGCTCCTTCCAACATCCACAACTTCGCTTCAGTTATAATCACATTGAGCAGACCAGCATTGCACCTTCAACCACGCAGTCATCACACAGCTGCCAGAGTTGCCACATGGTTAGACTGTTGAGCGATCTGGCCCCTTTCCTCTTGGCAACGACGACCCGTTCAGCTACAGATGGCAATCAGTCGTAGAAGCTCTCATCTTGTATCGGGGTGGTGACCTCCTGTTTGATTCTAATATTTAGGTTGCATCTTAAAGGTCTGGGTAGAGCTGTAGTGTAGAGGTTCAATTCCTCAAAACTATTGGTATTGCTAGAATTGCGTTGGTCGGCTGCTATTGCAATCCAACTATATGCATTTATGAATGTGGGAGTTTTTTTTCTAACATTTTTTCTTTCAAACTGTATCTTTGATTGATTGTAGGATAATTTTGTTATCTGATCTTTGAGTGCCGTTTAACATCTTTGTGCTATCTGCAAAATAGTTAAAAATGATGTTTGTATCTGTTCCATGTGATGTAGGGCTGGAAGAACTTTGGTAAGATTGCAAGGGATTTAGTGCGCTGTATGCAGAAAATAGATGGTGACTATTATCCTGAGGCAAGTCTTAGTGATAAAATATAGGCATGTGTTTCCCAGTGTTCTGATACCATTCATGTGCTAAATTATGCAGACACTACATCAAATGTTCATTGTAAATGCTGGAGCTGGTTTCAAACTGATCTGGAGCACTATAAAGGGACTTCTTGACCCCAAAACATCATCAAAAATTCATGTATGAAGTCTTGCAAGCATTCCAAGTTCATTTTCCACATTCTGATGTTTCGGTTGCTTCATGCATATAATCTTCAATAACAGGTTCTAGGAGCAAAATACCAGAGCAGGCTTCTTGAAGCTATTGACGCAAGGTTGGTGACGGTAATCTTCTATGTTGTTAGGGTCCTTTAGTGTAAGATTGGTTTTTGTGCTTGTTGTACAAGGCTTACCAGAATATATCTGCAGCCAATTACCAGAGTTTTTTGGTGGTTTGTGCACATGCTCTAACCAGGGAGGATGCCTGAGGTCCAACAAAGGCCCTTGGAGTGACCCTTTAATTATGAAGGTAGTCTTTTTACTGAATCTGCTGGTGCTCTCTTACTGTATCATACTTATGGTACAACAGGATATTCAACTTGTCTGCTACAGCTGATTATGTACTTATTTCTTATTTCAGATAGTACATAGCATGGAATCATCTGCATTAAGGGATATCGTGCAAGTATCTGATATAGAAGAAACAATTACAGGCTCTGTAAGATTGCGTGCGCTCAAGGCAAGATTACGAAATATCCAATCTGTGAGCTCTCATTTGTTCAATGAGTCAATCTCTTTTCAGTTTTAACGTTTTATGCACTGTCCCTGCTTCTTTCAGTTACCAGAAAGAATTAGTGATACATCAAATGCTGAATCAGGTTCAGATGTTGATGATCTTGGATCCCCTGTAGCCCCTGAAGATGTTGAATATCATAGTTTGGCTCCAGTCCGTGAGGAAGTAAATTATTGTTCTCTCAATTCTGCCATTATATTAATAACTTCCATTCATGTTATCACTTGCCAACTAGTAGCTCCTATATTCAGATGAACAAAAGGAAATAACAGATATTTCTTTTTGGTCCTGACATGCCTAAATGTTAGGTTGTTGTTCCCTCGGAGAAAAATAAGTTAGGCTGTTGCTAGATCTAGAGCGCCTTATCCTCACCATGGCATTTCTTAACAAACTTCGTCTCCTGTCTTTGTCATGTAGGCCAGGGAATCAGGATCAACAATATACGGCTGTTCAGACGATCGACCTCTTTCAGTGGATAAAGCTGTTGAGTCCAATAAAAGATATAACCTTACTGGAAATGTATTAAGGCAGTACAACACACGACAAAATTCATCGATGAATAGAGTTTTGCCTGAGCCAGGTATCTAATCATGGTCTGCATGCACTAGCTAACATCTATAAAAACTCATGGGACGCTGTTCATATTTTATCCCAGTTGTCTCACCATGGTGGCTAGTTTCTCTGATGCTTAAAATGTGAGTTGAAACTAGCAGGTCGTGCCCCAAATGTCCGTGAAGGCGATGCAGATGATGGGATTTTGAAATTATTTTCAAGAAAAGTTCTTGCTGTAATTCTCAAAGTACTCTCTCTTTTGCGCTTGTTCACTCGCCATCAGCAACACTTGGAAAATGTTCATCCGCATACTGCAGCCGTACCCAGTAATCAACCAAATCTTCAGATAGTTAAGGAAGACCGAGTAAATCCTTGTTTGGAGCGTCTTGAAAGACTTGAGTCGATGTGTAATCAACTCAGCAGAAAGCCTCCTGAGATCCCACAGGATAAGGATCGTGCTATACAGGATTCTTTTGATAGGATAAAATCCATTGAATTTGACCTGGAGAAGACAAAGAAGGTATTTGTCTGGCCAAGTGTCACAGCCTTATGGTGCTTACAGTTGTTTCAGGATATACAGTTTAGAATTGTATCATGCTTTTTACCACAAAAGTGTTGCACCTTTATTAATAAACTTATGGCCTGCTTGACTAATTTGCAAAAATTTGACTCAATTAGTTATGGAAGTGATGTTTTATTTATTCACATATGCATGTTTATGATACACTTGAAACTTTAAGCACCTGGTAAAAAACTGCTATGAGTTCGGTTAGAATCCAACTGCCCAACTTTTGCAAGTTAAATAATATGAAGCATAAAAAAGTCTGGTGATGTTACTTATTGAAGTTCAAAATTGACCAAGAGATGTCTTTCAAGGACACCTAGTGAAATAGTAGCAATGCAGTTTTTACTTTCAAATCTTCCACTGCTAGTGGGGGCCATTATTATTGAACTGCATAACAGTGAGAAAAAACACTATGGGCAAGGTGCATACTCATGTCATATTCATCAGTTATATGTTTCTTACTCACTCCCATTCTTTTTAGTCTGCATATAAAATTTGGCTGAAGCCAAACTTTGTAAAGTTTGACCAACTTTATAGAAAAATATATATGAATATTCACAATACGAAATGTGCATATATTTATGTAGTGTTCTGTTTTTATGTGTTCGTCCAGGTATTGCATGCAACAGTGATCAAACAAATGCAGATGGCTGAAACATTGGAGTCCGTGACAGAGTCTGGTCATCATAGAGTAAGCAATACCATGTTGTGGATTTCAATGCTGTATACAGTTTGTTCAGTTATTTTTCAACCCACAATATTATTGAATTGTGATCTAAAAGGGACATTAAGTGTTTGACCTGTCTCTGAGGATATTTGTTCTAGTATGCGTTTTGGATTTACTCTTTGGCTTATATTCGAGGTTAATTTTGTGAGACTAACGTTTGCTGCTTCTTCTTTTTGGTTTGGTGCAGAGAAGGAAATTTTGTACTTAATAAACTCACAGCAATGTACATGAACAAGAAAAAAAAACAGAGATGGCGACTTTGATGACTGCTTTCCGACAGAAACTAAACAGCATTGCTTTGTATATGGCTGCTCAGTCTCGCTTCTCTTTTTGGTCAATCAAAAAGATGGGTGATGTTAATAAGAAGGATAGATAGTTGGTGACCGGAGGAAAACTGAGGGGATGGTCAAGAAGAGCGCCCTGGAAGATAACTGAATATAGCGAAGATAACTGAATATAGCGCGGCTTATATACAGCAAAAGAAAGTTGAAAGATGAATCCCGACGCACAGCTCATGTTCTTTGTATGTTTTCTGTTTTCTCTGCCTCTATGCGCCTCCTGATCTGCTGTATGCCTGTATTTGAATGCTTATGCGCATTTTCATTGTCAGAACAGTTGAGGCTGGGGTCTCATAATTAACACCATTCTTTGGTTGATGGCGTCCATGCATATACTAGTTTTACCCCCTACTTTCAGAGTAAGCAATACCACATACTTTCTTTTCGTGACGCCACTCATCTGACCTGTTGCTGCAACAAACTAAATAAGCAGGACATGGCGTTGCGGCATTTTTTTTCATGTGTTGGAATAGCCACGAAGTTCATTTTGTACAGCCCTGAGTTGTCACATTTTTCTACCATCGTTCCATGGGTTCTCAACCCAAATTGTAGATTGGGCTTGGCCACGCCATGTTTGACAAAAATGGACAAACCTCTTTTATTGAGCAGCGTCGTTGATTGGTGCAAGCATCATTGGTGGTGGATCGCATGTTGAGGGAGTGGTATCCTGCCGTGCGGTGAGCTGTGTGGCATTGAAGATATACTACCACATCAAGCTTAGCTGGCGAGCGGCACGTCGTTCTTGCGGGCAAGTTTGCTGCCATAACTAGGAAAACAGCCAGCTGCCAGATTGAAGACGGCATCTTCCTCCAACAGAAGACGAAGGAGGTTTGGGTTTGGTGGATTGGAACTGCTGAAAGGTTCAACGATTGATTTTCACTCGCCTATGAACAAAACAAGACAAATACGGCGTGCGTTCATTCCTTACATTTGTCACGCGACGGCAGGAAGAACAGCTAATGGGAAAACCACCCTCGCTGTGTGAAGATCAAACAAAATTACACAAGACATGCGTCGCCTTGACCGCTTCCCCTAGGATATAGGATATCTATCTACCGTCTCTTTCTCCAGTCTAATTAACCTCGCTTCGCCGACTCGCCCGGTCCCACAATCCATCCGAATAACCACCGTCAGCGAGGGAAAAAAAACAGACACCGAAACAAAACGCGTCCGCAACATGGTCACGTCCTTCTCTTCTTCCCTTTGCCTCCCGTTCCAGCTCGCGGGCACAGCAGCATCCGTCGCCACTAATTAATTGCAGCTGTAGCACCGCCCGCCCGCTCCGCAGAGCTTATTACAAGCACCAGCGAGGAGAGTCGAGGCCCGCACGTGGGTGGGTCTGTGCGCGCCGTCCGCCTCCTCCACCAGGCCACCCTCGTCGTCGCCGTCGTCGTCCTAGATCCGCAGCAGTGCGTGCCGGAGGGACGCGCGATGGCCGCCAGCCGTGGCCTCCCGCTCCTCCTCGTCCTGGCCGCCCTCCTGGTCGGGCTCGCCTCCGCCTCCTCCTTCATCTCCGGTGCGTTCCCCGCTCCTGCTCTGCTCTGCTCCGCCTCTCTCGTCCGCGTTACGCTTCGCGGCGGCTTCTGTTCTGACGGGTTCGTCGTGCTGTGTTTTGCTTGAGCAGACGGCGTGTTCCAGGCGGGCGCCGGATCTACCACGGGGAGGACCTTGCTGCAGGCCAAGAGGGGTACGTTTCCTTGCTCCTCTCCACCTCCCTCTCTCCTCGCTGAGCCCCACGCTCTAATGCTTGCTTGCTGGTTTCGGAGCTTGATCTGGAATTTGAGAAGATTGGGCTGGGGCCTGGGTGTTCGGTTACATGCTCCGCTTAGATGCGTGGGGTGTCGATTCCCTGAAACGTCCCGCGCCGACGCAACGTCTGCGGTCGTGTCATCAGATCAGCGGTCATTCAACTGTAGGCGATGAGGAAAAATAAATAGGGATTGAGGGAACATTTTGGTGGCTCAGTTGTTAGATGATTACGGTGAGGAACTGGGGTGCTCTACGAGTTGAACGCAGGGATGAGGGCTGTAGCTTCCCGAGGATGTTCTTTACCGACTAATTAAAAAGGAATTGACATGGTTTGCCGACTAGTCCGCGTTTCATGTTGTTCGCACTGTACATACTACATGCGCATGCTAGTTATAACTTGTTGCTGGACAATAAAACCTAATTACACCCACATAGGATAGGAAGACTTGCTAATCGTGATGTGGAATTTCCGAGCCTGCTGCTTGGTACTAAGATGCTGATCACTAAATAGAGAGCGTGGTAAACTGACATACGTACGATAAAATGGCGGAGAGGAGATTTGCTGAGCTTGTGATGCTAAAACCGGAACTTGCTGTCTAGTAAGGCATGCAATATCCAGGTAGTGAAGCCTGTATCCCTTATTCAGTTAGAAGCACCACGTTATTGTGACAAATTAACCAGTGTAGTCTCAACATATTTCTGCAAGTTATCCAAAATTTCATTGGGTAAGTTGGTTCCAGGCTTCCAGGGGCATACTAACCAAATGCTTCGAGGCAGCCCCAGAGTGCATATTTTGGTTTCTTCTGTTCACTAAACAATACCTGCATGTTGCTAACACTGTACCAAGTAGCATCAAGATAGATCCTAATTCATCATTGTAATGGATGGTGTCTGACATACATCTACCCATGTTGAAGACTTTCAGTGCCTTGATCTATTATATTTCTCTTAGGTCATACTTGTGCTTTTCAGATTGTCCTGTGAACTTTGAGTTCCAAAACTACACCGTCATCACAAGCAGGTGCAAAGGGCCAAAATATCCCGCTAAAGACTGCTGTGATTCTTTCAAGGAATTTGCATGCCCATTTAATAACTACATCAATGATGAAAGCAATGACTGTGCATCCACAATGTTCAGCTACATCAACCTCTATGGAAAGTACCCACCAGGCCTGTTTGCCCACGAGTGCCGAGAAGGCAAGCTAGGTCTTTCTTGCGAAGGCGTCCCCCAGAAAGACGTTGTTAAAAGTGGTGTCCAAAGGGCTCGAAGCAGCTCGCTTGCTTTGATTACTCTCATGTGTGGACTAGTAGCATTATTCTTCCAGTAGGTGGTGGTGGTGGTGATGCCTTTATTTCTCCCTTGTTTTTCGAATGATGTTGAGCCTGAATCCGCTGCTGCTCCTTAAGGCGCTCTTGAAATTTTCCTTCTTGCAATATCTTGTAATTTGAAGCTATGTCAGATTACATATTCTTTGGAGTCTCACCTGGTTGCCAACTTAGAATTCACTGATTGTCGTTGTATCATACCTCTCACACTGTATTATGTCTCACTCGTGTGTAATGATGATAACTATTTTTTTTTTGCTCACTGGAAAGAGTTTGGTTGTATGTGAATCATCATGGCTTAGTTCATTCTAGTCTCAAAGAAAGTCGTGATAATTGGTTTCCCTATCTATAAGCTGCAGGTTTTCTCTTGCCAAAGGTTGCTGCCTTTTATTTTCACTTGCTTCAGACAAATTTTGTAGTCCCTGGATTTGCAAGATAAGTGCATATGAATAACCTCCAAAACTAGGATCATGTTGTTGCCAATCTGTGGGAAGTAGTTAAAATCGCAATGCATTTTTTTAACTAGAGCAAAAAAAAATGAGAATATATTTTTTGGGAGGTTTTCAAACATTTCACTTCAATCCATGTCCTTACCCAATTGTGTGCCAAAACCACTGTTATCACAACACCATGTCTTTTTTTTTTGAAATGGAGGTTTACCCCCGGCCTCTGCATCATAATAATGCATGCGGCCATCTTATTAAAAGTTTGCAAAATAGCACAAGGTCATAAAAGTATTACAGCTCGCAAGCGAAGCGAAGCAGATGAAAAAAAGAAAAGTACATGCTGACAATCACAACCGGTATGGTAATATGTAGGATAAGGTTCCTAGAGTCCTATCCTGTTATGCGACCGTCATCCGAACCAGTTGAATATAGCCCGTGCTACCATCTCCCACTGGTTGCACCCAGTAACCAAAGGCTCCCTGGAGTCCATAGGCTTATTAATCAAATCGGGCCAGAATTACCTGAAGTCCCTGGAGTCCATAGGCTTATTAATCAAATTAGACTTGGATCCGTACGTGGTCCTTACTCACTTGGATCCACTGAGATCGGGACAGAATTAATCAAATCCATACAAAAGGATTTCACGGTGAAACCCCCATTTTTAGCTAATTTCCATTGCACCGAATCTGGCCGATCGGAGAGTTGAACATCTACCAATCTCTGAACCAAGTGCATCCAGGCTGTCCATCTCTCACCAACCAGCGCACGTCTGAACTGGATATTCAAGGGAATCGTTTGAAAAATTGTGCCTACATACTCCTCCTTACGTTGCACAATGTTATAAAGGGTTGGATATTGGACGGCTAAGGATGTCTCCCCTAACCACGTATCTTTCCAAAATCTTGTTGACATCCCATTGCCAACCAAGAATTTGACCCTACGAAAGAATAAATCCTTCGTCCTCATAAGCCCTTTCCAGAATGGCGAGTGAGTAGGTCTCATGGTAACCTGGGCGAGTGTTTTTGACTGCAAATATTTATTGCACAAAATCTGTGCCCACATGCCCTCCGGCTCTATCTCTAACATGTAGGGCCATTTACTCATAAGGCATTTATTCTTGATTTCTAAGTTCTTAATACCAAGACCACCCTGGTCTTTTGGTCGGCAAAGGATATCCCATCGCGCGAGTCGGTATTTCCTCTTGGCCTCATCTGACTGCCAAAACAACCGGGATCTAAAGAAATCAAGTCGCTTCCGTACCCCTTTCGGAATTTCGAAGAACGATAATAGGAACATCGGCATACTAGTCAATACCGAATTAATCAGCACTAACCGACCTCCGTAAGACACAAGCTTACCCTTCCAGCAGCTCAGCTTTTTCTCAATTCAATCTTCGATACACTTTCATTCTTTATTAGATAACTTACGGTGGTGAATCAGTATGCCTAAATAACTAAATGGTAAAGAACCCAATTCACACCCGAACAATTGTCTATAAGTATCTTGCTCGTCTTTGGCCTTCCCAAAGCAGAACAACTCACTCTTGCGAAAGTTTATCTTTAAACCAGACAATTGTTCGAAGAGACATAATATAAGTTTCATATTAGGTGCTTTAGCAATGTCATGTTTCATGAATAGGACAGTGTCGTCAGCGTATTGTAAGATGGATACTCCTCCATCAACCAGATGAGGAACTAACCCATCCACCTGACCATGCTGCTTGGCTCTGCCAATAAGAATAGCCAACATATCGGCCACTATGTTAAACAACAGAGGAGACATGGAACCGCCCTGTCTCAGACCCTTGTGTGTCTGAAAATAATGGCCGATATCATCATTAACCTTGATTCCGACACTACCCTTCTGGACTTGAGAACCCACCTGGTTCCACCAAGCCTCACTAAATCATTTCATGCACATTGCCTGCTGAAGGAAAGGCCACTTAACTTTATCATATGCCTTCTCCAAATCCACCTTGAAGATAACCCCATCTAGCTTCTTCGAATGGATTTCATGAAGCGTTTCATGCAAAACGACCACCCCTTCAAGTATGTGTCGCCCTGGCATGAACGCTGTCTGGCTAGGTTGTACCACAGAATGAGCAATTTGTGTCAATCTATTGGTACACACCTTTGTGAAAATTTTGAAACTCACATTAAGAAGACATATGGGCCCGAATTGTTCGATCCGAACTGCTTCTTCTTTCTTTGGTAACAACGTAATCATGCCGAAGTTAAGATGAAACAGCTTAAGATGGTCGTTAAAGAAATCATGGAACATAGGCATAAGATCATCTTTAATAATATGCCAACATTTCTTATAGAATTCAGCAGGAAACCCATCTGGTCCTGGTGCTTTATTCGGTTTCATTAGGGAAATTGCATCAAAAACCTCCTTCTCAGTAAATGGAGCATAGAGAATATCATTCTCCTCTACATGGAGCCGAGGGATATTTCCAAAGACAGATTCATCTAGGGTCACCGTGCTTGCTTCCGGATGCCCAAAAAGTTGTTTATAGTAGTTAGATATATAAGCTTTCAGATTCTCATGCCCCACTATTGTCCCCTCGTCCTGTTCAAGCTGTATGATTTTCTTCTTCCTATGTTTACCATTTGCAATCATATGGAAGAATTGTGTATTGTCATCCCCTTGGACAACCTTAAGCACTTTAGCACGTAGTGCCCACTTGAGCTCCTCTTCTCTTAGAAGAGCCCGTAAGCCTTGCTCAACTTCGGACTTGGAGTTCTGCTCATTAACCGTAAGGAGGTTACTTTCAGCTTTTAAATCTAGCGCTTCAATTAATAGAGTGAGTCTTTCTTTTTCTTGTTTGTAAATACTATTTTCATTTCTGGTCCAACCTCTCAAAAATTGTCTCAAATGTCTGATCTTATTTTGCCATCTCTCAATACTAGTTCTTCCACTAATAGGTTTTGCCCATTCGCGTGCAATGATTTCTAAAAAAAATTCTTTCTCGAACCATCGTAGTTCGAAAGAGAAAGCATTCTTGTTCGCAACGTGTGTAGCCTCGCCCAAGTCTACAAGAAGTGGTGTGTGGTCCAAGATCGCTCTTTGCATCGCATGAACCGACACCAAAGGGTACTTTTGTTCCCAATCCACACTAGCGAGTACCCTATCCAACTTCTCATAAGTCGGAATGGGCAACGCATTGGCCCATGTAAATTGTCTACCGGTGAGCTCAATTTCTCTTAAATTAAGACTCTCGATAATCATGTTAAACATCATAGACCAACGTCCATCAAAATTGTCATTGTTCTTTTCATCTCTCCTCCGAATGATATTAAAATCTCCACCGACTAGGATTGGCAAAGTTTCATCTCCACATATCCGCACTAAGTCAGCTAGAAAATCTGGTTTAAGTTCTGGTTGTGCTGCCCCATATACAGCCACAAGAGACCACCCGAAACCATCCAATCTTGATCTCCCCCTAAACTTGACCGCAAAATCTCCCCGAACCATGTTAAGCACCTCAAGTGTTTCACACCGAACCCCTAGTAAAATCCCATCGGACCTTCCTCAAGGAGGTAAGACATGCCAATCAAAATCAATTCCTATGGATAGAGTTCCAAGAAACTGTGAGGTAAAATTATCTCGTCATGTTTCCAAAAGCGCAATAAAATCTAAACGCTTCTCTATGGTTGTCTCAACCAAGAATCTACGTTTAGCCAAGTCAGCTAGACCTCTGCTATTCCAAAAGATTCCTTTCATAAGTCATCATGAATTTTTTTCTTCAGCTTAACCCTAACACTTCTACGGACCGCCGAAGTAGGATAAATTTTCCGTTTCCAGGGTCGCTTAGGCTTCTCCAGGGTCGGCGAAACATGATGCAATGCCCTCCATCCTTAGAGGTTCTACCGTGTCCATAGTCTCCAACCCCTCCTCGTCTTCGGCCTCCTCACTAGGCAATATATTATTGCAAATGTTTCCAAGGGCTACAATTCCAAGGTTGTTCACGTCGTCGTCACTCATAGGTTTGATTGATGTGAGGTTTCGAATTATTTCAGAAGCCCGCTCTGCTTCTAAATCTAAAAGGTCATTAACAGATTTCGCTACCTGATACGTCTCCATCGTATCTACTTTTCCAAACACTGTTGCCCTTGTTTTGGACTCTAACTTGCATGATTTGAATGGAACTAACCCGGACTGACGTTGTTTTCAGCAGAATTGCCATGGTATTATTTTTGTGCAGAAATAAAAGTTCTCGGAATGACATGAAAATCAACGGAGAATATTTTTGGAATATATAAAAAATACTGGCAAAAGAATCAAGGCCAGGGGGCCACACCCTGTCCACGAGGGCGGGGGGCACTCCCCTTGCCTCGTGGGCCCCCTGGTGCTCCACCGACCTCAACTCCAACTCTATATATTCATGTTCGGGGAGAAAAAAAACCATAGAGAAGGATTCATCACGTTTTACGACATGGAGCCGCCGCCAAGCCCTAATCTCTCCCGGGAGGGCCGATCTGGAGTCCGTTCGAGGCTCCGGAGAGGGGAATCCGTCGCCATCGTCATCATCAATCCTCCATCACCAATTTCAT